AGCCCAAGGTCACACAGGCTATCAAAGACAGAGCTTGAACCTAAGACTCCCTGATTCTGAGAGTAGATCTCTATCCACTCCACCACACTGCCTCTCAGACTGACAACATACAAGTACATTACCCACAATAAGTCCAACCAAATCAATCTATCTGCTATTCTCATTACGTGACATTTAAAGACAACACCTTTGAATAATCTGCACCCCAATGCTGGATTGTACCTGTTTCTCACCTCTGCCAAACAGAATTCCTAGCTTTCTTCAAAGAACAGTTCAGAAGCCACCTCCTACCAGACACTTCCCATGATCCCTCTAGCTGCTAGTGTTCTCTCCCTCCATGCAAGGATTTTGTATTTGCCTATCTGTATAAACTTTGTTCCCTGCCTCCACTGACTGTCCCCTCTCCCTCCTCTCACCTTAAAATGGAAGCTCTTTGAGAGCAAGTACTGTTTCCTATTTGTCTTTGAATCCCCAGCACATAGAACAATGACTGAGATATAGCAGATGCTTAATATGTGTTTGTTGAATTGAACTGTAGATTCACAGACTTTTAGAATCAAATGAGACCATTTTGTTTTTAGTCCAACTCTTCATGACCCCATTTGGGGTTTTCTTGACAAAGATACTGGAGCGGTTTGCCATTTCCTTCTCTAGTTCATTTGACAGATGAGGAAAATGAAGCAAGCAGAGTTAAGTGACCTACCCAGGGTCACACAGATAGTAAGTTTCTGAGGCCAGATTTGAACTTGGGTCTTTCTAACTCCAGGCCTGACACTGCACTACCTAGCTACCCCCCCAAAAGACCATTAGGAAGCATTTAATTAAACCTCATTATTATATAAATGAAGAACCTGAGACCCAGAGTATTTAAGCAAATTCCTTAATCTTATGCATCTAGTTAGTATCAAGTTTCTTGCCAAACTTTACTCTATACCATGCTAAACCTCCTACCCTCTTCCATTAAGTAAAATGAAAAGGAAAATAAGAAGGAATTCAATATGCAACAATTCATAAGTTTAAATGAAAATATACCCAACTCTTCACTTATGCCTAGGTAGTGCTTATAATTAGGAAAAGGTTAAAAAAAAACTCTTTTCAAAAGAAAAACCATTATCCATGTCCTACCCTCACCATGGCTATCTCCTAAGATTCTGTTCTAGAGCTTCTTCTCTCTATATTCTTTCTATTGATGATCTCAATTCCTAGATGACTCCCAAATCTATATACTAATCCCTAGCATTTCTCCTAAATTCCTATCTGCATACTGGGCATTTCCCACTGGATGCTCTGCAGGCCTCTCAAATTTTTGGTGTCTAAATCAGAAATCATTATCTTTTTCCCAAAAAAAAACCTCCTCTCTTCCTAATTTCCCAGTTTCTGTCAAGGATACCATCATCTTTATAGTCATTTAACATCTAACATCAACATCACAGTCATCCTCTGCTCTTCCTTCTCCTTCATCCCCCATTGTTCAATCATTTGCCAAGCTGTATACAGTCTACCACCACAACATTTCTTTCATCTATCCCCTTCTCTCAACATTCATATCACCTGCCCCTTGGATTATTACAATAGCCTTCTAATCAGTTTCCCTGACTCAGGTACATCCCCTCTCAAGTCATTCCCATAGCTGCCAAACTGATATTTCCAAAACACAGTTCTGATTTTACTTCCCTGTTCAAGAAGCTCTGGTGCCTCTCTATTGCCTTACAGTCAAATACAAACACCTCTGTTCAGCATTTAAAGCCCTTCATAATTTGGTTCCAGCTTACCTTTCTAGGATTATTGCATATTATTCCTTTATTCACTCTATGTTTGTGACATTCTATGTTCTGTCTCCATGGTTTTGCATAGGCTAGCTGTGTAACCCTGGGCAAGTCACTTAACCTCTGTTTGATGTAATACACTGGGGGAGGAAATGGCAGACCACTCTAGTATCTTTGACCAAGAAAACTCCATGGACAGGATTGACATGCTATGGTCCACAGGGTCATGAAGAGTCAGACATGACTAAACACCTAAGCAACAATATCTTCTGAAGCCAAATCAGGACTTTTAGAGACAGCTAGGTGGCTCCATGGATAGAGCACTGGGCCGGGAGTCATAACTTGAGTTCAAATCCAGACACAGACACTTATTAGATATGTGACCCTGGGCAAGTCATTTAACCTCTGTTTACCTTAAACCACTCCAGCATCTTTATAGAGAAAGCTCCATAGACAGTATTGGCATGCTGTGGTCCACATGGTCACAAAGAACCAGCCATAACTGAACAACTGAACAACACCAATGTATATAAGTAATGTATGAATTGTAAGTATATGTATTCATTTGTGTACATTTTGTTTCACCTGAAAGTAAGCTCCTAGAGGACAAGGACTATTTCATTTTTGTCTTTGTGTGTCTCAATGGTGAGTACAGAGCCTAACACATAATAGTTGCTTAATAAATGTTTGTTGATCAAATGAATGAATTTGAAGTGCACTTCATATTGGCAAGTGGTTGCATACCATATTCTTCTTTTTGTTTTTTTTTTTGGGGGGGTTTGTATATTCTTGAAAAATAAATTTTTAAGATAGTTTGAAATCCATTCAGTTAAATACAAGAAAGTCTCAAAGACTGGATTTTATCTACAGATGACACTTCCTCTAAAGAAAATTTTCTTAAATATTGTGTTCTTCTTCCCTTACTCCAACTTTCTATATTCTTAGTCAGAAATGCCCAGTCTTGTTCTACTAGGAAAACTAGAGACCTTCGTTTAGGATCATAGCTTAAAGGGTTCTGACTTACTAAATGGGATCTCTGTGATTCTTTATATGCTGATTCTTTAACACTTCTCTAAAGTGCGAAGATACACTTGGCAACACATTATAATCCAATCAGTTGCTTATTTTGTTTGCTTCTTAATGAGTAGATTTCTATACAGAAATAAAGCTTTGCTAGTGACCATTCCTCATCTGAGGACTTTACAATTGTTTGAATACTTTTTTTCTGAAAACATTCACCTGTATTGGGGAATGAATTCGACACATTATGAACAACAACAAAAAAAAGAACCAAAGACTTCAGGGGATTTAGTAATGGAGCTATGACAGCCTAAAGAATAAACAGAATGTGAGTTGACAGCTGCAAAGGACTTAGACTCTGAGCTTACAGTCTGTTGCCTGATGAAAGGAACCAATATTAAAGAAATTGGGGTTTTAAAGAAACAATGACTATTTGGTCTTCAAATAGACATTCTTCAATCAAACAACCCACTTAAGATTATTTCTGGAAATTGAATCGTCTACCCCAAATTACATGTTTATGTGATCCTTAAATGAGACTTCCCCAAAAAATAGATTGCAATTTTGTTTAAAAGCTACCCAGCATTTTTAGTTTTCTCTACACTTTATTATTTCCCGTGAATGTAATAGATGGTGTTGTGCATGAGTAAGTACCACTAATTTGAGATTTGGTTTCTAGACTAGCAATTAGCTCAATTTAGGACCACATAACCAGATTGTGAATTTACTATTGATGCTGGGAATATAAAATGATTTTATTAAAACATACCACCAGTGCTATGTAACACACTCTAAAGGCCTTGCCAATTTGGTTCAGAATACTATATTAACAGGCATTAAAACAAAGCTATGTTTAAAAATTATTCTGATTAAGATAATTTAATATCTATCAAGTCACAGTTATTCAAGTTAATTAATCAAATGCAAATTTTAGAATCAAACAAGATCTTAGGTGCCATCTAGTCCAATCTCTGCCATCTGCTATTTGATCCTTACAATAACCTTGTTAGGGAAGTACTATTATTGTCCATTTTACAAACGAGAAAACTGAGATTGGGAGGTTAAGTGCGTTACTCAGTTTCACACATCTGGGGCTGAATTTGAACAAAGGATTTCCTGACTTCAAGTCTGGTGATTTATCCACTCTTCCACCTAGCTTATCAATGCCCTTCCTAAAAATGTAGTTCTTCAAACTTAATATTTTTAAAATCTAAAGAAAGCTAGGCGACACAGTAGATAGAACACCGAACCTGTGTTAGAATAGCTGAGTTCAGGGGCAGCTAGGTGGTGCAGTGGATAGAGTACCGGCTCTGAAGTCAGGAGGATCTGAGTTCAAATCTGATCTCAGACCAAACACTTGACACTTACTAGCTGCGTGACCCTGGGCAAGTCACTTAACCCCAATTGCCTAAAAAAAAGAATAATCCCACCTCAGACATTTACTATTTGTGTAACCCTGAGCAAGTCACTTAACCTCTGTCTCATTTTCCTCATCTGTGAAATGGGTATAATTATAGCAGCACCTAGTTCCTAGAGTAGTTGTGGGGATAAAAGGAGGTAATATTTGTAATGTGCATTACAAAGTTTAAATCAATTTATAAATGCTAGCTATTATTATTGTTGTTATTATTATTATTATTACTACTACTACTATTATTATTAAATGTAGTTTGATCAGAGCAGACTACAGTGGGACTATGATCTCCTTAGTCATAAGCACTACGCCTTCTAAATGAAGTCTGATCACATTAGTTTGTGTTGGTTTTCTTTTTCTGCCTGCTGGAATCACATCATTGACTCATGTTGATCTTGTAATTCACTAAAGTCACAAGATTTTTTTTCAACAAAGTGCTATCTCACCATCCCTCTCCCATTTTTTAACCTGTAAATTAATTTTCTGAACCCAAGGATAAGACTGTATATTCATTCTTATTAAATTTCATCTTGTGAAAGATGCCACCCAACTCCTGACAGAGAAGTGATGGACTCAGGGATTGAGGCATCTATTTTTTGGACAAGGCCAATGAGGGAATATGTTTTGCTCAATTATGCATATTTGTTTTTTAAAAAAGAGAGGGCAATTTTTCTTTCCATCTCAGTGGTAGGGATAGAGAAAATATAGATTTTTGTTAATTGAAAAAAATGAAATCAAATTTTAAAAGATCTTCATAAATAAATTGAATGCAAAAAATAATAAATTTCTTTATTTTACTATGCCTGTTGCTCTAATCTCTCAAGATCCTGATTCTGATTTCCAAGTTAGTGATCTTTCCAGCTTTGTGTCATCTGTAAATATGAAAAGCAAGATATTTATGCATTTAACCAAATAATTGGTAAATATATTAGACAGTGTGGGTCCCTGGAGCATTTCATTAACATTTGTCTTATTTGAGATAATATCTGTTAAAAAATAAAGTGCTTATCACAGTGCCTAGTATGCAGTAGGTACTATATAAATATTTATTCGCTTCTCTTCTCTTCCCTTATTAGAGTCTTCATTCTAAAATGACATTGAATAGTTAATGAATAACTAGCCCTTCATAACCTGACCCCAACTTAACAGTCTTTTTAATACATTTTACCCCTCTCCCACAACATACTGTACTCTCCAACAATACTGGCCTCCTTGCTGTTCCTCAATCAAAAAACTCATTGCGCCCCTGCAGGCATTTTGACTTATGTTGCCCAAGCCTAGAATGTTCTCCCTGCTTGTCTTGGTTTCCTGGCTCCTGTGGCTTCTTTCAAGTCCCAACTAAAATCCCACTTGATGCAGCAAACTTTTCTCAATCCTCCTTAATTCTAGTGTCTTCCTCTGTTAAGTCTTTCCAACTTACTCTGCCTTTATCTTGTTTCTATATAGTTGCTTATATGCTGTCTCCTCCACTAAACTGTGCCCTTCTTCAGAGCAGGAACTGTCTTTGTATTCCCAGCACTTAGCATAGAGCCTGGTATGTAGTAGGTACTTAAAAATGTTTCTTGATTGATTTGTTGCCTGACTTGGATTTAACCATTCAATCACTTCTGAATCCACCTCAATATGCTTTTGCCTAACTACCCAGCATGAGAGACTCCGTTAAACACTGTGCTAAAAACCTTTTTAAACTATCTCTAAGGTTTCCCTGGTCTACAATCTAATTATAAAAGAATAAATGAGGTCAGTCTGATATGACTGGTTCTTAACAATGCCATGCTGATTCTTCATTATTACTGTTTCCTTTTCTAGATGTTCACTAACCATTCCTTAAAAACATATTCAAGAATTTTTCCAAATATCTAAGTCAAATTCAATAGCCTATATTTATCACTCTCTACTTTTTTTTGAAAATTAGAAAAACATTTGCCCATCTCCAAACCTATGGAATTTCTCCAAGATCACTAAGAGTTACTCAGCCATCACAACTATTTTGTGAAGAAGTAATCATCAATATTATATTTTCTTGGTTAATAAAGAGAAAGTAAAGATCAGTAGAACAGACTGGGTAAGCACAGATCAAAAACACCAGTTAGAATGGTGTCCTGAAATGTAATCTATGTGAGTCTGGTGACTTGAACTTATAGGCAGGTAAATGCTAGCTGTCTCACTATTTATCTCCTTATTTATTTTGGTTACCAGTGTTCTCATAAGACACATTTATTCTGTTCTTTCTAGTCTAAAAATGCTTGTCTTTGGCAGAGAAAGAGAACAAATAAGAGTTGAATAATTCTGCCTTATCTCTCATCATCAACCTATCGTCTACAATAATTAATACTATTCATTCTTTGATCCCTTATTCTCCTCGATAAACTTTAAGCACATTTTATCATCTTCAGCTTTGAACTATTCTTATGGGTCCATGGAATGCTTTTGCATTCATCCTCCATTACCTGCCTTTGTTTCCATCTTTTGTACTTCTTCAACCAACAAGTATCTATTGTCTATTGAACATTTACTCTATGTTCAGCACTGTATTAGACACTCTGTAGGATATCCAAAACTCTCAAATTATAGACCCTGCCCATTAGAGAAACAGCACAATGAAACCAGGAGCTGTCAGAACAAAACATGAATAAAGTGCTTTCCAATTACACACTCATTTCTTCGACAGAAATGTCCTGGCCCAAGAAAGAAATCATATGGGAGATGTGGTCTGGGGATATGTTCTAGTATATCAGAAAATGAGAATTAGGGTATGAAAAATAATTCTAATTTTGTTGTGTTTTCTTTCAATAGGACCCTAAATTTACATATTTTTGTAATATAACTGAAAGCAGCTCCTATTAGGCAAAATAATAACAAAATTCACTCTGAGAAACCCAAGGGAAATGGTATAGTAGAGAACTGGCCTTAAGAAGACCCATGCCTTCAAGTCCTTCCTCTGATAAATACCAATTATGTGAACCTGGGCAAGTCACTTAATTTTACTGAGCCTCAGCTTCTCTTCTATAAAATGAAGGGAGTTAGAATAAATGGCTATAAATCCATGATTCTATATAATATAATATAAATAACATAATCAGAATATATTTAATATATTATATTACCTTCCAGCTCTAAATTCATGATCCTATGACTATAAAATAATGAAAAAATTAGGAATAGAAGGAAAATAGTACTTCCAGATATTAAGCTATTTTGCAAAGTAGTAATCACCAACATTATATTATGTTGGTTAATAAAGAGAAAATAAAGATCAGTGGAAAAGAATGGTTAAACATGGATCAGAAACACTCAAACTCAGTATCACAGTATCGGTAAACCTAAGAATATAAAATATTCAGGAATGAGTCCTTATATTGATAAGAACTTCCATGAAAACCAGAAAACAATTTGACAGAAAATGGGGTTAGACTAGTACCTTATACTACATACAAATTCCAAGTAGATATGAAAATAAAAATAAAAAGTCATACCACTAAAATTAGGTAGGATAGAATAGAAAAAAAATACCTTTCACACACACACACACACACACACACACACACACAAAATGGCTAAGAAGAAAATTCTTGACTAAAAAAGGAGATAGGAGAAATAATAATATTGAAAATCAATAATTTTGACTATGCAAAATGTAAAAACTTTTGCACGCACACATATACATGTACACACACACATACATGCACACAATCAATCCATCCAGGATAAAAAGAAAACCAATGAGGAAAAAAGTGCATCAAATATCTCGAAGCCTGATATTCAAGATATGTAGCAACTTAACCTAAGACCAAGACCCATTTTCCCCAATATTTAAGTGTTCAAAGGATAAGAACATATTTTTCAAAAGAAAGTTGTCAACAATCATATAAAAAATTGCTGCAAATCACTAATAATGAAAGGAATACAAATTCAAATAGCCCTCCAGTTTTACTTCACATAAAGCAAAATAACAAGCATGACAAAAACCAGAATTAAACAACATTTGAGAGGATATAGGGACACAGGAAAATTAATACACTGTTACTGGCAGTAGAATTGTAAATTAATCTGATCGTTCTGGAAAACAATTGAGAATTATTTGAGAAAAGTGATTAAACTGTTTAAAGGGAAATGTCTGCCCCAAGCATGTGAAGACTTCCGCCAGTGGAATGGGCAGATGAGAATAATTTGTTCTTTCAGCCATGAAGGCAGCTGAAGCAGGCACTGGTCAGACATCAAAGATGCCAAGGTCATCTACTACATCCTGGGCCATCACCATTCATACTGACTTTTATCTTGCCACTGGACTTTGATGATTCTGGAATAGAGAGTGAAGCTGATGACTTTGTGCAACTCTGCTTCACTTAAATACAATTCACACACAAGTAAAGACATCATCCCATGATATCACTGGTTCTCTTCCAAAAATGAAGGTCAAACAACAACTTGTTCTATCCCCATTAAAATTTAAGTTCTTCAGGAGTAAGAATTCTTTCACTCTTTGTACTTGCATCTCTGGTGCCAAATCCAGTGTCTGGCACATAGCAGACACAAGGGATAGAGTACCAGACCCGGAGTCAGGAAGAACTGAGTTTAAATTTGACCTCAGACAATTACTAGATGTATGACCCTAGGCAAGTCATTTAACCCTTGTTTGTCTCAGCTTCCTCAACTGTAAAATGGGGATAACAATAGCACCTATCTCCCAGGGTTGTTGTGAAGATCAAATAAGATTATGATCATAAAGTGCTTAGCACAGTGCATGGCACATAGTAAGCATGATAGAGTAGCTATTATTATTAGTGTTAATGCTTGGTGGTTTTGATGGATTGAAGATAGAAAGTGTATGCTTTGTAGCTTGAATCAGGTGACTAGAGTTCACTACCACCACCTGGTGGCAGCGTGCCTGATATACTGAGATATTTCTAACGAGGTAAATAATCCTTTACAAAACAAAATTAATAAGGTGACAGCTTCATTGAGCTGTGAAAAGAATATCTATTGTGAATGTACTGAAGAAGGAATTGTTTATCCACAGCAAATGTTGTGGGATGGGACTTTAAAACAGATAGAAAAATGCTAAAAACATGAATAAAGTGTTCCAAAGTCAACAATGATAATTTTATGTGAAATCTACTTCAAGTGATTATAGAAATTTTCCAACACTGAATGAATCTAGCTATTCAGTAGAAAGTGATGGTAACATCTATCAACCAAAAAATAATAATAATAGCTCTTACAATCAGTATTCATAACATTTAAAAGTTCAAGGAATGTACTAAGGCTTCTTTGCTACTTCCCTTACATGCTACCTTCATTCCACCTCCCATCTCTATGGCCTTTCCATTGACTGTCCCTATGCCTAGAATGCACTCCCTCCTCATCTCCCCTGGTTTCCTTCAATGCTTAGCTCAAAGGACACATTTTACAGAAGGCCTTATCTGGTTCCTCATCACCAACTACTATTCTGGGGTAATATCACCTTATATATGTTTTGTATATCCCTACCTACATAGGTGCATGCTATTTCCTGTTACATCGTAAGCTCTCTGAGGGCAAGGACTGTTTCATCTTAGATTTTTGCCTTTGTCTTTGTATCTCTGAAGTCCAGCATAGTGACTGGCACATAGCAGGTGTGTACACACACACATATATATGTATATACATATATGTACATATGTAAGTATGTATGGAAAGAGAAAGAGGTGGGGGGAGAGGGGGGGAGGTGGGGAGAGAGAGTTGCTGGATATGATGTATTTTTGTCTAAGATATTATATTGATCAACAGATCTATCTCATGAGGGTCTCTTTCAGAGTAGGAACAATTCATTCCTAGCCAAAGAAACTCCTGCAGATTTCAGTCATATCAAGAACTTAGCTATCAGCCCATA